TGTTTGAACACAAGTAACATCTCTTGCAATCATATCCTTAATGACTTGACTATAAGCATTATTAATCACTTTCTTCTCTAAAACTTATCGTAGCACTTCTTCTGAAATCTTATCATAAGCTGTCTCTAAATCAATAAATATCATATGTAGGTCCTTAAAATGCAGCCAAATAAAAATGTGACTGATCTAAACAGCAAATCAGGTAAAAAGCAATGCCTCAAACAAACCCTAATATATGAATATTCAGTTAATTGCCATTTTTTATATTTCTGAGCCAACGAGTTAAACAAATTTGTGTTAACTTGTAGTGTTTTAAGCGTGAAAGGCAAGGGGTAAACATAGAAGGTGAAGTGATGAACATAGTGCTAGCCTATTAGAAATAATAAATTTATCCAAAAAGTAAGACCACAGAAGGTAAGTGGTGAACATAGTGCCATACACACTATACACAAGCTACTGTAGAATATAATAATGTGGAATCTAAACCATGCCACCCAAATTTATTCATATTTGAGTGATTATGGGTCGATTTTTCATATTTTTCAGAAGAAAGATTAAATAATAAATAAGAGACTACCTAGATATTTCACAATGATAATAGAAACTTATGATATGGTTTGTGGTTGCCCATATAGACACAAGCCCTCATTGATAATAATCCATGTTGATCATAAGAGAACTTTCAATTAAGTCTATAAGCTCTATGATGCCTTAACTTTAGTAACAACAATTTGGATTGGAGGATAGAATATAATGTTGTTAGCTCAAAGTGAAAAATGCAAGAATGTGAAAGATTCAATCAAGATCCTAGTTTACTTCATTTGTGGAGGCATTTGACCTAGCCTAATAAAAAATCTTAATCAATAACTATGGATTTTGTCATCCAAGAAGTGCTTATAAACCTGGGCGAAAGCTTGTTGAAGGGGCTACTGTAAAGACAGACTAACAAAATGAAACATACCCAATCAAGTATGTTTCATGGGCTCACAACTCATAAGATTAGCCATTAAAGAACATCCGAGCTAATGTTGTAACCTTAATATAATGGCGCAATTGTAATCAACTTAATAACTCAATCAAAAGGTATGTGTCATGTCCTTACTAACATGAAATTTTTAGTTTAAGCATTTCGATATACTCGATATGATATTAGCCATTTGTAAGCTTTAGTCAAACTTAATTTATCATCCTTATAAGTTTGTGTAGAGAATGGGGTAATTGTTCTGAGAGCAAAGTCGTCAATTATTTCTTAAGTTTTTTGATTTTATACATTTGGATTATGATTTGAGGACTATGCCCATCATTGATAAAAGTACTCTTGAAATACATTTATCTTGAAATTTGAGAACACATTTTTTCATAAAGAGGAATCCTTTAATTATGATTGGCGATAACCATACCCATTATTGGAGATATGGCCAAAATAGTTATCTTTGTGATGGAAGCTCTAACAATATTGGTGACCATCTCTGATTATGATTTGTGAGCATGTCGATCATATGAGAGAGAAACTTGCACATGCATGTATTGATTTATTGATGTCAGATTCACAACTTAGCGAAATTTGACTTCCATATGATCGTTCATAAAAATATTGCTCAGAGGGTTGCTCACATATTTGCATCAAATTTATCTTGAAGGTTAGGCATGTTGGAACACAAACTGTGATATCAAATGCTTGCAATAATGACATAAGACTTCTTTGTATATTATTTTCCAAACTTCTGCTAGCGTCAACCAAATTCAATATTTACCCCATCACTCGAAGTCAGTTTGAGAATTCTTTAACTTTAACCATGTCAACTTTGTCACTCTTATCTAGAGGATCAAACTATGGAAACTGTCAAACTATGGGCCGTATTGACTCTAACCTTCGTATGTAGAGGATTGGGCCATTGATAGTTGTCAAGCTACCAACCAGGTCTACTCTACCCCAGTTATGTAGATCAAGCCTTCAACAATAATTATTTTATAGGCTCCATCTACTCTACCCTTGTATGTAGAGAATCAAGCCTTAAAATGAGACATTTAACTCCAATGATGAAAAAGCCCAAAGGTTGGCACCTATGATGCACCGATACATCTCATCAAAGAGATATGCAGTGTCCGACACGCCTCCAACACGCACGTGTCGGACACGCCAAAAACTTTTTCGATTAAAAAATATTAAATACAAATTGGATACGCGTGTCCAACACACATATCTTAAATATTTTATGAAATTTTTTAAAATAAAATTTCTTATATTTAAGTTTTTTATTTATTTAAAACATAAGAACTAAATTTCTTATTTTATATCCACAACACCAAATCAATCGCCCGCACTTAATATCACATTCAAAGAATATTCTCAATTTCATTTCTCTTTGGCAGGTTGCGACTTAGGTTTCACAATAATGTCTGATGTTATCTCAACATCGAAGTCTGATGTCGTTACAACATCGACATTTCAAAACCATCTTAATATCAAAGTCTAACACTATCTTGACATTGATGCTCGACGCTAGCAATTTCTACACCCACAATTTGACAGCTCATCTTTGTCCAACGTCGTCTTAGCATCGACAACCAACGCCCTGTCAACACCGACGACAGGCGCCCTCTTGACATCGATGCCCGATACTTACTGCATAACATCGATGTTAGACTCTCAACAACATTTTCGTCTCCTCTCTCGATGCATGATTGATGTAGAACTAAAGGCATGGAAATTATGCAATGTTAAAGTTACACGCCTTTTGAATTAGAACAATAATAATTACGTTGGCTTCTAGTAATTTAAACAAGTATTAAAACAATATAGAGATAATTAAAGCTTATGCCAAACTATATGTAAGTGTTAGAATCATGAATAATCAATTACAAACAAGATTAGTATAGCATGGGGGATTTTCAAAGGAAATTCCTAAATTAACAATAAGATTAGGCACTACTAGGATCCTCCTCACTTGCACTCTTGATGTAGGCTAAATGGAGATATGTTGCACAATCTTTATGACGCTACAAATTAAAGAGAGGGCTTAGAAAAGCAATAGACTTGGAGAAGTTCACCTTTATCAAGATTTGGAAATGATCTGTCACTGAACGAAAGAGAGTTGTTCGCGTTAGCGGCGACGAGGGTGAAGGTAATCCTTTCGACGTAGTCTTCTACGGTTTGATCGATCTCCAAGTTGAGGTCGAAGAACGGTGATTTGAGGATATCAAATTGACCTTGATCGTTGAATACAAACCCGTGGTCAAGCTCGGAATCCGCCATACATGTGGTAACAATGAATTTTAATGTACTAGCGCTTCTGGACAGCAAACAGCTTCTTTTCGGAGGGCTACACAACAAAGATCCTTGCTGAAATTTTCTGGACAGCAAGCGAGGGTCTTCCGAACAACAAGACAACAAATGAACTTGCTGAATTCTTCTGGACAACAGCCTAGCAATGCTCAGAAAACCTGGACAACAGCTTGGAGAACTAAAATTTTGAGTATGAGCCGTTTTGGGGAAGAGAGCACTAAATAAATAACAAGAGGGAGGAGGGATAGGGGCGGCTGGTTTTGAATTTGAAATTCTTTCCTAAGCCAAGATATCTATTTTAGGAAAGTTACTTAAATCAAATCTATTTGTATTTTAAATAGGATTCGATTTAAAACAATCTTTCCTCATTTACTATTCTAAATTGGGCAAGCCTTCAATCCCCACCTAAAAGGCCCCACTTGCCCCCCTATGCCACCGGCCCCCTCCTTTCCTCTCTCTCTCTCTCCACGAACTCTCAAGCTCTCCCAAATCACACAAGTGCAGAAATTTTTTATCATAATCATCATTACCCTCTCCAAAGGGGAGGAGGGGATATAAATAGCTAATGTTTACAATGACGAAATAAAAGACATAAATGCCCCTAAATCTCTCAAGTGATGGTAGAAACAGAAAAATGCATAAATAAATCAAATACATATAATAACTCAAAAATAAATCGACGTGATCGTGGCCGTAGATCGTCGGTCCTGTCTCTGGTAAACTCTCCAAGATCGGATGTCCTCATCACCCACCCCTTACTTTTTTTTTCCTTATTATTTCAAATAACACATCAATTGACCATTTTATTAATTCAACACATCCCAAAAAAGGAATAAATCATGTAAAAGCGGGGTAGTATTTGCTCTACCTTTTAATTGCTTTGTACTTGTTTTTAAGAATTCTTTCTTTGTTCTATATATATGTTATTGTTATGCATATAGTACATAAATTTTATTATTTATTACATAACATCATTATATGTATCATTATTATTTACTCTTACTATATATACTTGCATATGTTTTTTTTTTTTTTTCCTTTTTTTTAAAATGTGTGTAGGCATGGAATTCTGCCGCAAGTTTCTCGTCTCTCGTGTATGGATATCATTTTCTCATATGACAATTCGAGCATTATCAGGGCCCTCCTAGTTTGTTATCGTGTTCAAACTCATCGGTGTGATCCATTTAGTTAAATGAGCAATGGATTTAGAACATTTCATGCTAATCCACGGTGAAATTGCATCCATCTTCTACTATTGTCATTACATTTAATCAATGACTAGTGGATTGCATATGAAAGTCAGCACATAAGAATCTTGATTCTGTAGATAAAATGTTAGTGAATGAATAACTGACATTGGCCCTTGATCTAATTCAAGGCTAAGGGGATTTCAACAAGTAATTGCAACCAAGGCATACATGCTCACACAATTAATAGTATCAAACATGATTAAGCAAGCATGAGATTCCCAAGAGAATCATAATACCACTTCATATAAATTATACTTCTAAATGAACATTCAAGATTTAACTGATAATTATAACAGAACAGCATTTTTAGGCTGCACCAAACACGACTGAAAAGTTAAACAAGGCATACTAAAATTTAAAATATTTTCAAGCAGCAATTGCGGCATTTGCACAACAAAATGATTCATTTGACATTTGTTATGTTCATGAACATATAACCTTAACATCATAATCCCAATGCATACCAATCTGACAGTTGACTTTTGGCCGCTTGGAAGATAAATAGTTTGAGGTCCAATACCATGACAACACTCATGGCAAATTGTGTGAGTAAAGAAAGACTCAAAGTCAATGTATTCCTTCTGCTCCTTGTTAATACAGATATTGGCAATGGGTTGGAGAATATGATTAAATCTGAAAAATACATATCTTATAAATGCTCAGATTTTTAAACTTTTGATAAATTGAAAATCTAAGAAACTAAAAATGTCAAACACGGCTGTGAAGTGAATACAAACTTGGCTTGAGAGATATTCTTGAGCATGACCATTGCTGTTCCACGCTCATTAACAATACGTTCATCATTTGGTAAATTAAAAGCTACAGTTTGAGGGCCTTTCACATCCTGCAGTTAATGAAATAGTTCTTCAGTTCAGGTTGTAATTGCAAGTATTCGTGCGAGATCGTTTGGTGTAGACAATAACAAAAATATTTGGAACAAAACCAAAGTTATAATGTCATGCCAAACGCATCTTCTTTCAAGTAGATGATAACGGAATAATTGTTAACCAAGGCACCGGTAAATGGGCCTATGAATGCAATGAACAAATTAGTCAACCAATGTGATTCACTATGAGCACAGAGACAAGTGTTGGTGATTCGTACTCAAGCCGATCCCACCCAAATTCAAGATCAATAAAGTCATTTCAAGCAATCTCAAGCTGAGCTAATTTTGATTATAGACTAGCTTGATCCAATCTAGCTTAGCAAGACAAAACTGCTTAGCTATGAGTTAAGTTTCAATCAGGCAACAATTACTATCTAGTTTCAAACTCAAAAGAAAAAATCTTAGTCCAACTTACACACATAATACCCACACACACACACACACACATATATATATAAGAATAGAGGCATATATAGATTTATTAAAATATGAGTGCAGGCAAAAAATGTGCATATACATACAAGCAAATACATATTGATCCAATATTGAGAAAGTTTGCCCAACATGCTGTTTGGTTGGAGGAAAAGTAAATATGCTTTATGCTTTTGCTTTTTCACTTTTTGGTATTTGGTTGGGTGAAAAATAAATCCAAGGTAAAATATAATAAATGTCCCATCATCGCCGACTCCCCGCCAACGCTGCCGCCCGCCGACCACCACCATCGGCCGTCACAATTTAAGACTTTACTCTACATTCATTATTTTTAACCAAACAAAAAAAAACATTTACATGCATTTACTTTATATTTATCAAAACAACTACAAAGTATTCCTTTTGCATTGCATTCCTTTTTCAGCCAACCAAACAACCCCTAGTCAAAAGCCAATCAAATTCAATAACCGAGTAATATTCAAGCCAAATTCATAGCCCTACTTGTCCACCTGAATGGAAAGAGAGAACCAAATAACCATAAAACTCTATATTATAAAGATAATAACATATCCCTATAAGCATAAATATCGCTTATGTTAAATTCAGAGAATTGGAAAAGGAAAATGCTTAATTTTGTTGAACAAAAATATCCCTATTTATAGATTTATACAAGATATCTTAATAAAGAAACAAATAATTACAGAAACATGCATAATTGCCATAATATAATCCTTTCTAGACCAGCCACCTAAATATGGAAGGAGATCGGCGTGATCCAAGTGAGCCTCCCACTGATGCCCATCCTAACTGTGAGATCAAGTACCAAAGCTGATCTTTTGATTCCCAACTTGGTAATTAGTCCCAGGAAGGTAGAGTTATCAAATCCCTTGATAAGAATGTCTGCAAGCTGGTATTTTGATGAGACATGGTAAATACATATAAGACCACTATCTAATTTCTCTTTTATGAAATATCTATCCACTTTTATATGCTTGGTCCTATTATGCTGAACTAGATCGTGAGCTATACTTGTTGATTTTTTGCCATAGTGTAGCTTAACGAGTCCTTCCCACTTGATCCTTAGGTCTTCTAGAATCATCTTGATTCATAGTAGCTCACATATTCCTAAGACCATACCTTGTATTATGCTTCTGCATTAGACCTTGCCACCACATTCTATGTGACAGATACACGCTAAGCATTCAGTTCCACTAGTTCAAACCCGATTGAAAAAAGGTAAGGTTTTGAACTTTTGAGTTTTTCAACTATTTGCTTATCTTTGAGAGTGTTTTAATATATGAAATTGATTGTGTTTACGTTCATCTCTTTTGATCGGCTCCCCCATATGATATTCATGAGTCGATCTTCTCTCTAGATCGAACGCAAAGGCCATGGGATGAAGCACTCTCCCTTCTCTCGATTATTGCGCAACATGATTTAAATTTGAGATACTAGGTGTTGATGCTTATATGAGAAGAGATTATTTTGAGGTAAAAATTTATTTTGGGCTTAGTTTGATTTGTATTTAAGTTGTAAGTTGGAAGATGCCATAAATTTTTAAAAAAATGATTTTCATAGATTGTTTACAAGCAAAAGAAGTTTCGAGGTGGCCCTAATAAAATTATCTAAGGGTTGATTGTCAATATCGTCAATTAAGTAAGATTCTCAATTTAATTTAGAAAATTAATTTATTTGAAAATAGTTCAGCATAAATTTTATTTTGCACTATCATATCTTGTTGAAGCCTAATGAACCAATGTCTGATGAAAACTAATGAAACTTGAATTGTATACAATAGTTGGTGTGTAGCACTAACTTATCTTTGTGCTCTCAACAGGAATGAATGGAAATGGGGTGCTAATGATGATGACAACAACAGTTGGAGTGCAGATCAGTACAACTGATGCTTTTCTTGCATCCACAGATAAATGCACCATCACTTCATTCTATGATAATAAAGAAGCTATTCTATCAGGAAAATAAGCACAGAGATAGGCACCATTGAATGAAGTATGATTTCCTCAACCTAAGCATGAGATTGTTTCCCACATATGCATAAATAAAAAGACATAAAAAATAAGGGGCCATTTATTCAGGACAAAAAGAAACATAAGACTCACCCCGGCATTGTAGATAAGCTTTATTACACGGATTGGAGCAGCAACAACATCTCCTGTTTTATAGATGTCATCCAGTGGAAGATTTTGTTGCAAAAGCTGGTTTCACCATTCGATTCAGTATCTATAAACAGAAAGTACATTCTAATGTTAAAAGAAGTATACCTGCAAATGGTCCCCAAAAAGTTTAACTTGAGAAGTTGCAACATCATCGTGTATTCCAATGAACGCTTCAAATGTAGCCTTTATAATTGAACCATGAGGTCAAGCAAATTAGAGAAAAACAATTAATAGAATGCCATTGAAACAAAATGCAAAAAATGTTTAGAGCATAAAAGGATTAGGATTATTAGAATAAAGATCAAGTATACAATACGCAATTTTAGAGTATGGGATATTAACAAGTATCAATCAATATTGTTTGATGATAAAGGGATAACTAGGTGTGAAAAAATTGAATATTTTAGATCTATATACAAAAAAGGGGATATAAATGATGATATAACTTCTATAGTTATAGTTGGGTGATTACAATGATAAAATGCTTCCAAAGTACTATGCAATAAGAGAACATCATGAAGAGAGAATGGTGAATTTTAGAAAATTGCAAATAGGTTTTCTATATTATATGGACACTGAGTTTTGGCAATAGAAAAGATGTTTAACTAAGTTAAGTGTGGTAGAAATGACAATATTAAAATGGATGCATGAAAAAACTAGGAAGGTTAAATTTGAGAATGACTAAATTAAATGTCTAGGAGAGAGTATATTGGAGATAAGATATTGAAAAATAGAAAAAAATAATTAAAAAATAATTTAAAAAAAAGATATTGAAAAATAGACTGAAATGGTATGAACATATACATCGAAGGGAGAAAAATGCATCCATTAGACAAGTAGTTAAAATTAGTGCAAAATGATTGAGAAGGAACAGGTTGGGCCTACGATAATATGGATAGCAGTTCAACGACTTTGTGACATAGGTTTAATACTTCTTGTTGAGCTCAACAAAGAATGAATGAAAAATGAGAATTCAAAAAGCCAACCCCAAAATTAGAATAATTAAGGTCAATTATGAAATGAGAATATATTTTATATTTTATAGAACTATTTAAATACAGATCTGCAAGCGAACGCAATACAATTAAAATATTTTTTCTAAGTCCAATATTCATTAATCTTATAGAAAGTATAGTAATAAAAATTTCCTACTATTCTTCATCAACAATTCCACCATCCCTTTTGAAGTTTTTGTATATCTAGGCATTTTATGAGGGAGAACTACTTAACAAAATAGTGTTATATAAAAATAAAGGTTATCCTCTACAGGATGGAAAAGCTGATCGTTTACATATAAACTCTAGCTCATCCCCACTCCAGATTTTGACTAGTCTATTCAAGAAATTCTCCCTGACATTATGGTAATATTATTGCCATTTATTAGCACATTATCCATTATCTATTTCAAATACCTATTGAGATGCATTCCATGAAGAATATGGTACTAGATGGTATACAAACAAAGAAGATGCCATCGATTATGGAAGCAATGCTTTTTAATTGCATCTCCTAACACTGAAATTACGCTTCACTGAAACGAAGAAAAAAATCAACCCAATTGTTGGCAAATTAAAAAAAAAAAAAAAAAGAGAACTAAATTTTTTTAAATTGAAGAGATGTGTTTCTTCAAGATCCTAGTCTGATCCCACTGATACGGTTATGAGCTCAAATGACACAGCATTTTGGCAAGATAACTTTCCTTCGACAAATCTGATCTATAAAAGAACACTGAAATCGAACTACAAAAAACTGAAACTTACGCATTCTTGAGAATTCTTCTTCTGAACATTGTGTGCTGCAGATCTTTCTTTCTGTAAGTCTCCTATCATGTGAAGAAATAGCCTGCTCAGACCTGCTTACCATCCACGCTGGAATTCCAAACCTGTCGGACACCCTACTCTCATCAGTTCGATCCCACACAAGGGCAGCACACATCCCACCATCTCCGTTCGCGCCAACATCATGTGCGAATAGCCCTGATCCGCTTGTACCTAATTTTCAAACTATATATCCTAAGTGAAATAGTAAGACCCACAATTTACAAAATCTCTAAATAAAATGCAATATCACAAAAATCTCGACTAAATCAAAACAACTGGGCATCTTTAGCTTATAGGGCTAGGTTTTAAGACCCACAAATGAACTACTTCTAATAAAAGTCATAAGATCCGTCATTCAGGTTACTTTCAATGAAAATCGTAATCCCCGACTCAAATTAAAACACCCAAGCTACTTCCAAGAGAAGCTGCAAGACCAGCTTCAAACCAAACTTCTCAGTAACTTCTAAATGAAATAATAAATCTCAAACCAAACAAACTATTGGGTATTCTAATGGATGTAAACCCAAATAATCCAATAAAACTAAAACCCACATCTAACCACCTTAGTCTACTCAAGATCCATGAGAGGAGGCAACCCATAACTTCTAATCAGATTACCTGGACACATCGATCAAGGATTATTAATATTAGTAGATTGAAATCTAAGGTGTGTCCGGGACGACAGAATCATGGGATATTGATAGGGTTTACCTCCATTTTTCCCACAATTGAGACTAAAAGATCTACAATTTATTCATACTAAATCGAGAGCTCTCTTACGTGTTAAGAGGGGTAATTAACTATGAGTGCTTGTGCTCATGAGAAGTAATAACCAAAATCTAATTAAACCTTGACACTAACCTCAGGAAAAATCTGGTAATTACAATCTAACTTAAGGAGAATAGGATCCTACAGCTGCAAAGCGGGATTCATGCCGACGCGCCGTTTTTTCTTGAGCCAACACCAATCTTTTAAATTAACTAAAACTTCTATCAGGATAAAACAAAAATGTATGGAATCCTAACTATTTGGAATCCTAGCTTGATAGTTGATGCAAGCACACTAAATTAGAAAAGCCAAACAAGGAGAACAATGGGCAAAACTATAACCAAACTCGATTCAAATAGTAGCAATCATCTATTAGCACAAAAACCGACGAACAAAAACTAGAAGAGAAGTCAAGAGAAACAAAAGAAATTTAAAAAAAGTGAACATACAGAAATTATGATTGCATCAATAGTGATTTTATCAAACAGCTAGTATTGCATGCAAGTAATTAAATACCATTGAGGTTTTAAATTAAAAAAAAAAAGTTACCTGACAGCAGAAAGTAGCAGTTAGAAGGGAAATTTGTTTATATTTGTATTCACTTAAATGAATATCATAAATATTGCTTTTGAAAGAAAATCCCCTAATACTAAGCAATGTTGAATTACTAAAACCTTGATGCTCTTTTTTAGAACGCAAAATACAACAATGTCGAAATATACAGGAATCTTAAAGAAATAAAAATGTTGAAATGTCTACAAAACAAAATATTCAAAATAACACAAGAAATATAACAATCAGATGTAAGGTTACACAGATAAATGTAGAGACATCTTCAGAACCCTGATGAAGTTTTTTTTTCCTTCCTAAAGTCTATGGGGCGGGAGTTACTATGGCATAGGAATCTTGGCAATAACTTCCATGATCCTTAACAACCGGAAAAATTAGCACCCACACACCTTGGAGAAGATGATTACACACTAAGACCTGAAAATAAGATTAAATAATAAATGTTGGCTTCAAAAATTCGTACCCGGCCTCTCCGCGCCTTTTTTTATTGACGGGAAGAGTTTTAACGGATTTAGGTTCCGAGGTAAATTTTCAAAAAGCATATTAAGTTTTAGATAAGACACTACCCACAGATTTCACCCTTATTTTAATTACCCCTCCCAATAACGAGAGAGAACTTTCGATTAAGGCTAGTCATTAAATAGGTCGCAATAATTACCTAGCATATAATATCAACAATTTTAGGGTTTGAATTTTGGAGTTCATGATTTGAAATTCATCATCATAAACTTAAAACAGGTGATGGATGAATGATGACAGGTCTGATCAAGATCCCATGATTCTGTTATCCCGGACTGTTATGATCATTGGTCTACTTAGTTAAAGGAAATAGTTGACCCAACCTGACAAAAGGAATCTTGTCGGCAGCCAAGGGTTGCTTCGTCCAAGAATATCTTGGAAATGCATGGTGGATGTTTGCCTAAGTTGATGAATTTAAGTCAACCTTTGTTAGGGGGTTCATATTGTGCACCCTATAATTTCATTACTCAAGGGGATTTTAACTATTAAAGAACATACGGGCTTTGGCCGTGACCATAATATGGTTGTGCCATTTTGAAGTAAAACCACCTGATCAGAGGGCACTTGCCACGTCTCTGCTAGCAATGAATCAACTGAGAATGAATTAAAGTAATACATTCTAAAAGATATCTGCTCTTTGTGAGCTGAAGTTATTCTTCAATTCATCATCATCGTCAAACCGTTGCAAAGTGTGGATGGATTTTATTTTTAAATTTTTGTGGTTAAATTTTCATTTAAATGTTTAGAATTTGGTGGATATTAGATTTTGAAATTTTAATAGGCTTTGAGAATTGACCTCTCTGATTGAGATGTACATTCAACACGACCATCATCGATTTGGTTGTATCAAGTGAGTTATCCCCCTCTCTATTGGTTAGGTCAATAGTGATGTCTTCTAAATTTCCTAAAATATTCAAATTCTTCGAGGTCTTAGTAGTAGTTTTGCTTGAAGTTGTATCTCCTTTGGATTGAACATTTCACTATGTTGTACTTTCAAGGGGAAACCCTAGAAACATTCTCAAAAGGGCTTACAACTTCTCTATGAGATTTTATAAGGCACATGTTCAATATCAAGTAGTCTTTCTTCCCATTTTTATTTTATTATTTTAAATACTTTTTTATTCTTATTCAATATATAGAGTCCTTTGACATTTAAAAGTCCGGCAACCTCCCAGGCTCCCTTCCCCACGAAGGGAGGTTAGGGAGGCACTTGCCTTTCAATTTTCCCGACTAGATCAAAGATACGACGGCGCGAGGTCTTCGTATATTCATTTCTCTTAGTCGGATCAAATATACAATAGCATAGTAGCTTCTTTGGTCTTCTCCTAGCCGGATCAAGATACAACAGCACAAGACTTCAATACATGTTGTTTAAGCAAGCAGGAAAGAAAATGTATACCTATTCTTTTTTTATATAATAATATACATAAATATATATAGGTAGATGGAGAATTGGTGGTTGGATCCGGCAGCGAGATCAGTCGCAGGGTATGCCAGGTCGGCGGGAGCAGGAGACTGGGTCGGGTCGGTCGAGTACGTGGGGCATGACTTCCTACATGCAGAATCAAGTGAATGAGAGATGGCTCGAGTTGGGAGGGTTCGCGGGCGTCTGCGTGCGTGAAGGAGAGATCGAATGGGCATGGAGAGCCAGCAACGAGGTCAATTGGGTCTTATGCTTGCGGTTGAGGGAGACGAGAGGGATGGTACGGACGAAAGCGAGTGTTGGACGCATAGTCGTGCACTTGGACTAGGGTAGATCATGTTGGGTCTCTTATGCGGCTGAGGGGCCGGAGATGAAACATGAGAGGGTGATCGGGTCGGATTGCGAGAGCAATCATGTGCATTAGGTCTCGAATGCGGCTGAGATCGAGCTGCGGGATGGAATGGCGGATGGGTCCTACGTGCGGATCGAAGTCAAAGACGGGAGCAGATGATTGCGTGCATTCTTGGGTGTGTGAACCGAGAGACACGAAAGAGCAAGAAGGTAGACAACATTCCTTCTTCAGCTTCTATTTGGGTTCGAATGAATGGAGCGGTTCTTTGCACGCAGTTTTGTGAAAACGAAAGGGAGTGTAGGTTGTGTCGTGTGTAGTCGCATCATTTTGGTGAAATGTGCGTGAGGTGGGGCTGGTTAGTGGTCAACAACATACCACATAAAAAAGACATAAAATCAATACATAAGGATAAATATAAGCAATATTTTGAGGCAAACTTGGACATTAGTCCAAAGAATGATGATCAATATTTTATATCCAATTGAGAGCAGAATACCATAATAGACATACTTAATCAAAATGTACCTTATATCCAAAAATCCCATCTTCATATGTCTCATACGGTCCAATTGTTACATCCAATTTTGAATCCTGAAACAAAAAATGATAAGCGGGAAAGTAAAAAAGTAGGAAACCTTTTTGAGTAAGGAGTTCAAAAAGAAGGAAATCTAGAAGAGAAAGGTTAATAACATATTCTTAGTGACTTTTATCTCGTATTAGAAAAAAAGATATAACTCAGTAATCTGAAAGATGCTAAACACAATAAATACAAAATGACAAGGATGAATAAATCATGCACAATCTAAGAGTGGTATACTAACCAATTCCATCCAAGCAACATCAGATTCATAATAGTCATTTGACAAAAAAGCATCTGCTTTAGTTTTCAGCAACTTCTTCAGGCTTGCGAGATTAAAGAAAAAGAATTCATTGGAATATAGACCCATACACAATATAAAAGGTGTTCGTACAGAAAACACGTATCAATAGTGCAGGTAGCATGGTAAACACAAACTTACCTTGAACTATCAGTTTTCTCTGCTGCTCTATGAAGAAGTTCAGCAGCTTTGGTAAGGAATTCACCATACTCCTGAGAATATGTTAAGGAAGTTTGCACTTGTAAATTTTAGAGAGCAATGTTAAGCAAAATCCTCTATTGATGTAAACGATAAGATAACATTAAGGTGATAAAATAGCTTAGGTCTAAACACATGCGAGAGGTTGAGATCATTAAATAGTCAACTAAGTCTTACTTTGCATACATGAGTGGTTTCAACGAGAAATTCCAATGCTAACAATAAGATTAGTATTATGAAGGGCCTCTCTCACAACTCATTCAAATACTAGGTTTAGCGGAGGCTATAAAACATGCGCTTTGTGAATCAAATTATAACCACGAGTAGAGTAAACTCAGAAGATAGAGAGTGAGTGAAGAGTTTACCCAAAATAAGGAGTTATGAAGCCATGACGATGGCTGGAATGAAGGGGCAGCAGCCTTCAAACTTCTGGAACCACTCAGCAGCAATGGGAGTCTCTTCGGGCGGCTGGACGACACTAGATCTCCTCAGGACAGCAGTTAGGACTGGTTCTGGACGGCTAGACAGCACCCTAGTTTGCTGTGGTCAACAGGACAGCAACCTATTGAGCTCAAGGAAACTTCTAGACAGGAAGAAGGGCTGTCCCTGAGATCTGGACAGCAATTGTCGCTCTCGGGATGGCTGGACGTCGGTGGGCTGCTACAGGAATTTCCAAACAGCAAATTGAGATGTTGGGCAGCAGTTTTCCTGGAGCTTTGGGAAGGGATTTGGGAAGGAAACCGGCGGGATTTCCAAGAAGAAGGGGGGTTTCGGCCAAGGTAGGAGGAATTCCAGGTTGGGGTGAGCGAGAAGAATAGATTTTAATCCAAACCTGAAATTAATTTCAGGTTTTGATTAATTTGGAGGGAAATTAAGTGGGGAATTTGAATTCCAATTGCTTGTAATCAATGCCTTGAATGTGAATTAAATGGAGAGAAGCCCTAGTAGGGCCTGCGGCATGGAGAGAGGAAGAGGAGGGGGATTAAGTGGAATTAAGCTATTTCCAATTAAGATCGACTAATTGGAGGGAAATTAATGAGTCCTCAAATTAAGTTTCATTTGAATTTTGAGTTTGAAAACCTTCCTTATTTAGACCTCGCAAATAAGGAAAGTTTTTGAATTTCAAATTTTGAATTTCGAAATTCATTAACTTTCTCATTTAATGCTAGATCTCAATTAAGGAGTCATTATGATGATTGATGTCATCATCATGACTTGGGGTAGGAAGGTGGCCGGCGGCCAAAGGAGGGGGGAAGGGTTTTGCCGTCGGTGAGGGGGCTGGAAAGTGGCGGGTTTGATGGGGTGAGGCTAACGGATGAAGTGGTGGAGGGTGAGACCACGGGTGGAGATTGGTTGGGGAGGGGACGGTGGATGGGGAAAGAAAAAAGAATGAGGGAAAAACAAAAGATAGAAGAAGAAAATACCACGAGCCGCGGACTCTTCCACCGACTGGTGGGCCTTGCGATTTGATCCCCTTGAGCTCTCTCCCTTCTCTAGCGCTCATGCAAGAAGAAGTAGAAACAAAACATAATTTTCATTCCAATATTCATTCATCACCCTCTTATGAAGAGGAGAAGGCCTTAAATAGCCAAAGGAATAAAGAGAAATACAAAGACCAAATTGCCCCTAAGGCTAGCACATGGCGAGGCCCTTAAGCAAGGGCATACATGGAAAGAAATACAATATACTCATAAAACATAAAATAAAATACATCAAATATAATAAAAATCAAAAGTAGATCATGGTCGTAGATCATGCATGTCTCCTCGTGCTAGAACTCATGTAGATGTCCTCATCAGAAAGTCCCACTGATGTAAGCACAAGTGCAAGAAAACTGACACAAAGGGAACAATGGATAGAACTCAAACTAGATTCTAATAAAATAGAAGTAGTCAACAAAAACACTCAAAATCCAACAAGAAAACACGAAGAGACATTTTAAGAAACAAAGAAAATAAAAAAAAACAATGCTATCTTCAGACAACCGTCAGAGCGGGTTCCTCACATGCATCGAATTGTAGGTTAAATAAGATAAGTGCATAGGGCTAGCAAACCGATGGTCCACCGCTGCAAGATCGTCAAATTCTTCCAAGAGATGCTTCCAAATCAACCAACAATCACCACCAAAGCTCAAGAAGAAGGATACATATGGGGTGGAACTTGCGGAGAGACGAAAGAGGTTAGAAGCCAAGACGAAGGGTGGAAAGAGCTCGCAAGATTTCCAGAGGGGATGAGAAGAAGAATGGAACAAGCTTGCAAGCTTTTCCAATAACCAGCAGGTTAATAACAAATTTACTCACAATAATCAACTCCCTTCTTCACAAAAACTTCTTATATTTATAGGCAAGATAGAAGAATATCAACAACCACTTTAATTAATTTCCACAAGAACCCAAGCATCAAATTATGGAATTTCCCCATTTGCTTTTCACGGAAAACAACCCAGCTCAGGAACCGAAGGAGAAACCATGGGAACCAAAGGAACCACACGGAACCGAGGCATCAAAAGCCACGGGAAAACCCCCAGCTCAGAACACCAACAACCAACGTAGGAACCAAGGAAATAATGCTCGAAATCAGCAGCCAAGGCAGGGAATTCAGCTAGCACAAAATAATAAGCCACAGTTTTCCAAGAGACAAGAAAAAAGGGGAAGGAGAAGGGACAAGTCCTCTCTAAATTGAATCCAACTTAATGAGCTTACCTTTAGAACATTAATGAGCTACAAAACTTCAGCTCAAGCAACTTAAGAGAATGAGCTCAACTCCAACCATAACCATATGCCCCAAGACAGCCAACCCGTGAACCAGCAGCAGCCAAGGACCAATCGAGCCAGCAAACCAAAGGTCTACCAAGCCCCATGCACAACCTACCATGTTCATTGGATGCTTTCCCACAATTAGATAGCTAAAAAAAGAAAAGAACATAAAACATACTATTGTTCAATAAAAATAAAATTACAGAAATATTTGATAGCATTACCCACCTAAGAATATCTCCCAATGCTCAATGGTTTGCAGATTACTACATTATTTGACGGAGTACTCTATTTTAGGTGTGCAAAGATAAGTTCTTTAGATCGAGCTTGAATACATCCAAGATAAGCAAGAGCTAATTACATTTAATGCCAAAGGATATCTCAAAGGCTTAATTGTTTAACATACTTCGAAAGTATTTATTGGACTAATTCTCAACTTTAGGTATGAAAAGACAAGTTCTTTGATACGCATTCCAAAACTCCATTGGCAGTCATTAAAAGTAGTTTAGATAAAGATATTACAAGCACTTTATGAGAGAAAGGTTAAATTTGAAGTCAATAAAGCCAAAAATAATGAAGAACCTTCAATATCAACCTTTTTATCACTTTGGTTTTATTATGTGTGCATACTAGGATTGCCAAACTTGTTTGTATTTTTTTAGTTAAATTCGGTTAAAAATACATTAAATAAGGCAACCAAGTTCACTGTGAACTTCAACGGTTTAAAGTTGCCGAACCGATTGGGTAAAAAGCAAGTTGCATAATCTGCAATCTTTGAACAAGTTCAGCAGAATTTGGACTAGTCTTTCAGGTTGGCTACTTGCAATCATGGAGGTTAAATTTATTTTGAACATACAAATCCATGGGTCCAACAGATGAGATTTTCCTTGGTCCTTCGCTCCTATGTCCTTGGCATAAACATATAATTAGAGACATTGATTCCTTGGATCCTACTATGTGGCTTTCTCTCTACTCCATCCTTCAAGTGATAACTGAAAGCAGAACTAGCCCTTTTATTATTCTCAAATGGGTATTCATGCTAACCAGTATCTAGAATCAATAAATTTGAAAGTGACCTAAAAAATGCATAGAAACTCTTCCATGCAACCTGGCATCTAGAAGCAATAACTTTGAAACTAAAAGCTCTTTCCTTCTCTTGGTTGCACAGGGCGCCTCACTTGCTCAGTAAATACATCCAAGTGCTAGAATAAAAGTATTATTGATCACCAAGAAAACCAAGGGCCATTACATGCAAATGCACCCGCTTGCTTCAAGCTTTCAGTAGCTTTCTTATGAAATCAAATGTTAATCATTTTGCAAAGTGCTATTAAACTCCAAAAGCTGGGAGCAAAATTAAGATTTTGCTTGACCAACATTCTTTTATGTAAATCAATTTTCTTGACTTTATTTTAAGTAAGCTTTAGCGCCTTGTGTCCAACTTGTATATTTTCAAGAAAATAATATTAAGCTTAAAGAGTTCGTTAACATGGAAACTAAGCAAAAGTGTTTCTCATACTTGACTGTCATTTTTCCAAAGAAACTGAGTTTCAGAATTTTATGTTAAGAAATTAATAAGATTCTTGCGCATAATCTTTCATACCTTCACGCAAGTACTCTTGAGCATTAACAGATCAATGGTTTGGAAGCAAAATAAGAATGATCTTTTCATAAGCTTTTATTTAAAGATGAAATAATTTTTATTAAAAATAAGTTTTAAGGTTGGTAACTTAGTATTTGTAGTGTTCCTCATTGCATATATCTTCTATATTTGAACTTTTATTCTAGTTGCTAGTTGGTTTTGCATTATCTCCACTAACTGCTCTTGTAGCAGGTTTGGCATCTTCTTCGGAAGGGTTGAGCCTTCTGATTCTTGAGCCTTGAAAATTAAGTGGTGAAAGGGTTGTTCATCTATGAAAAAAATCGCGGTTCATCTGATTCTTGAGCCCAACTAAAGAATGTTGTGAGGTTTTCACCCATAATGCCAACGATTGATGGATGAATTCATAAGAAGGGCCAAGCTGAGTGATTTACACTTGCTGAACTACTATAAATCCTCATGCCATTTAACTTGCTCTATTCTTTACCCTCACTTTACAGAATCATGCATTCAGATAGCTTCATTCACTCATGGTGATGTGATACTACGAGGAGTTTGCTTAGAAATTTAAAAAGAAAAGATTAAAGCGTTGCATCTTATGAATTTAAGACTAGCACATAAAATTGAATTAGGAATTTGAAGATATCAACTTGCTTAGGCCAAAGATTCGCAATAGAGATTAACCAA